TAAGTGAAAGAGAAGAAAAAGTGTAATCGCATGAAAGTAATAAAAATGATGGGGCAGATGGAAGAGAACGTGAGAAGCTAAAAGGCAGGAAGTTCTGGCGGCCGGTCTGAAATTCTTTTTGCTAGAAGCATCTGCTGGAAAAAATAGTGCCGTTATCTACAAAAGTCTGCGGGGAGCTATGCAAAAAACGCATCTTCGCACGAGCAGCCCGCGCGTTGGCCAATTATTGGAATTGCTTTAGCTGCACAGACTATTCAAAAATGATGCAAACTTGATTTTATTAAAGCATGTCGAAAAAATTTCACATATTAGTGTAAGAAATGTAATAACAACATAGAAACTTCCGAATACAAGTAATACAACCATAACAGTAAAAGCAAAGTAAAAATTCTGTAAACAGGACCGATTTCCTTGTATTTTTGTAAAATATCTGATAGTCTCTGTACATTATCTGATGCAGTCAGACAGGCAATTTTAGAGGAATGAGGTACCGCTCTGGATGAAATTATTGGGTTCAAAATCAGACAGACGCTCACATCAATCCCTAAACGCTGCAGTAACATTTTAGGGACATTACGCTCGTCTTGCGGTTAATATTTGCTTACCCGAATTTTACCGATTTTCAAACAAACATACTTTTACAATGAAAAAAATGAATGAAATAAAATGTAATTGAACAGAATGTGCAGTTAAAGGAGTCTGAAGAACTCAAAATATGTTCAAAAAAAGAACTCAAGAACTCAAAAAAAACAGAAGAACTCAAAAAAAAAGAACTCAAAATGAAGAACTCGAAAAAAAACTCTCAAAATATACAAACAAACAACATGCAAACTCTTGAAAAGCGATAAATTCCTAACAACACCCAAGTGAGGACATAAATTTTTAACGCTTCTGATTTATGCATACGCAAGGTTACTAATAGCACTAAAAAATCTATTAGAAGAAACTAACTGGCAAAAATCCCAGAATTCGCAGTGACTTTTTTATTATAAAATAGAAATTTTAAAATCTTTGATTTATGCGTATCCTAAGCTAGTAGCAGCGTTTTAGAGCAAGTTAAAGTCAGTACAGATCTCTGAAACAGGAAAGAGCAAAAAAATTTCTTGAGAGCCAAAATTCGAGCTTCTGAGAAAACTTACAGAAACATTTAGCAGCTTTGATTCTGCTTTTGCATACAGTCGCTTAAGGGAACAGAAAAGTTGCGCGTACACCGGCTTTTTTTTGGTTGGAAAAGGCAGGAACAATGAAAGCAGTGATGTGCAAAACGATGGTAATGTAAAAACAAAAACACTAATCTGGACATTCTTAATGGACAGGTATAAAAAATGCAACAGCGGATACAATAAAATTCAATAAGAACGCTCTCAAAATTCAGGGTAGAGCTACAATTCGTTCGTATACTTGTCGAAGCATCATATCGTTGCAAGATTTCGTATCTCCCCGCGCACTCAGAGCTGGCTTCACCGCAAGAATGTCGCGCAGACGATGTAGCGACTCGAGTGTACCATATGCTGATATAACTACACGATCTGTAGCACCAAACACAACTTTAGGTTAAGCTGTAGCGAAAAATACGAGGACTGCCTGTGCTAACAGTGTAGGTATCTCATGTTAGTAATGTTACCGAAATGGATCCACACATTGGCGAATGCTGGCACGAGTTGTTTTACTGTAGAAAACTTTCTTCGATACCTCCCTTCTCCCTCCCCTCGGAACCGTACATCCGTCCTCCCCTCCCCGCAATCGTTGCCCCAGTTTAGGGACGACAAGCGGCCAGGGAGAGAGGGGAGGGGGAGCGGAGTATCCCGACTTAGTGATGACCGGAAAGGGGGGAGGAGGATGGGGTTCCACAAGCCTAGCGCAGCTATTGATCCCAAGATGCGTATCTCTGGCCAGCAACTCTGTTCGACGTAGATGCGCCACTTTTGTGGGAGTGCCCAAACGACCGTTTCCGCTCTGACGTGTACCACTTAAAAATGCGATGTCCATCCAGTATCATATAATTCTAGAGGTTTAAAACAAAGTAGGTGACTTAAAAAATGAATATTTTGGAAGCAGAGAACCTTGCTGGAGCAAAGCCAGTTCCTTTAAGAATGCATTCTGAGGCGCAAAAACTAACTTTTTCGTTCTGGAATTCTCCTCAGCCGTAAATAACGGACATTTGAGCAACGCTGCACCTTTTCTCCCAATTCTTCATCACTGCTACTTAAATCCATCGGTATTTCAAGAACGAATGGTTCTGCTTCGGTCATGAGATATGCCTGGAAAAAATTCCACATTCATTACCAACAACTTTGCAAATCAATACTGCCGAAAGGCGAAAGCAACAATACAAATGCGCCATTATATGGCACACTCATCTAAACTGAACAGTAAAATCTGATGAGAGACAGTACTAAAAGCTCACGCAGCACAACAGCACTTGGGAAAAAATGTCAGTGATATAACTAAAATACAAGAAAAAACAATCCAAAGAGCTAAGTTTGAATTTCGGCGAATTTCGTTGAAAAAGACGCAAAATTAACACGCTAAAAGCAAAAAGCTATAAGCAAAGTAGCTCAAAAATTCATATTCAGATAAATGAGAGAACCAGAGTAATGCGCCTTTTCATTCGAAAGCGGTGTTTTGACAAGAGGAATAAAAAAAAAAAAATGCTTGGAGGCCAAAAAAAGCTACTGAAAGAAACAAGAAATGTAAATTCACCGAGGAATCACAGAGAGATATTTGTCCACTTTCAGGCAACATATCCATCCGACTGGTGAACAGTATACGATAGAATGTTTTAATGGCTGCCTAAAAAATGCAGTGGTTACAACAAGCAAACTTAGTCGAAAGCGCACCGGCTACCCGGTACGAGAATGCGTTTTTTGCACAGCTCCCTCGCAGGTTTTTTTCGCCAATGCACGTTCTTCTTGGCAGATGCTTCTAGTTAAAAGAATTGGGACTGGCCACCACGACTGTTAGAAATTATTATAAAGAGCCCCAGTCCATGCTCAAAAAATTCAGCGCTGTAGATGCTTCAGTTGCGGAGTTGCATCAAATTTCACGCGTTCTTGCGTGGGTGAAACGTGAATGACTTCTTTGCCTGTGGTTGCTCAAATACGGTCCTGGGTAACGCTCAGAAAGTTTCAGCATCTAGCTGCTTTGGTTGCAGAGTTACGTCAAATTTCACTTGTTTGTGCGTGGGTGGCAACGTGAATATTTTCTTCACCCGCGGTTACTCAAACGCGGTCCTGGGCAGCGCTCAGAAAGTTTCAGCACCCCAGCTGCACTGGTTGCAGAGTTACGTCAAATTTCACGCGTTCGTACGTGAGTGGCAAAGTGAATGCTTTCTTCGCCCTCCCTTGCTCAAACATGGTCCCGAGTAACTCTCAGAAAGTTTCAGCACTCCAGCTGCTCTGGTTGCAGAGCTACGTCAAATTTCAAGTGTTCGTACGTGAAATGCAGAAGGGCTGACAATTAATTTGCTTTCACGGACACAATAGTAGGCGACAAGTAACGCTGCAAAATTGCAGCTCTCTGCAACTTATTGGTCAGATTAAATCTGGAATTGGCATGATGCCAGTTTAAACCTTAACGTGTGCGTGCATGAGACCTGGGGGTGCGTGAAGACTGAATTAGAAATCTTTGGACTGAACGCGGCCAAGGAACAACTCTGTGAAGTTCCAGCCACCTAGCATGGGTCGTTCCCGAAAACGTTTTCCTGCCAAAAAACCTTTTACGCGCTCGTGCGTGAGAAACACGCGGAACCGAGCGTCCATTTCGAGGAGAGGGGTCCTCACGTACGTGTAGATTAAGCTACCAAAGTTTCAGCCTTGAAGCTTTTATGGATCTCGAGATGAAAACTCGTTACAGACGAACATACAGACACACACACATACATACACACAGACAACCCCTTGAAAATATGCGTTTTTGCATTGCATAGCTGCAAAAAACGCATAAAAAGCAAAAAAAATCGATAGTTGAGGGTAATTTTTACAAAAATTTAAATAATTCGGAAGATAATAAAAAAATCAGTAATGCATGGTGAAGATGTGGAAGAAGAAACTAACGCGATGCAACTCGAACCACTCGCCACGTTTCCAGACTGATGGATAACCCATATCGGGAACTAAGAAATTGAACAGTTTCTTTGCTTCGAATGCTCGCGTGCTAAGATATTGCAGAAATGCCAGGAAACATTTGCCAATGCCACCAAAATTACTGTTCAGATCGATCATCTCTACCGACTCGTGTGCATTGACTCTGTCTACCTGAAAGTGAAAAACAAAAATTTCGAGAGATCAAAAGTGATTTAAATAAAACCTATCAAAATACCATTCTCGAACGTCTAATATTCTAAAACATAGAAAGGAAAGGGTAGCTTCAGCGCAAAGAAAAACAAGAGGGGGAAAGACCAAAAGCTTTCTCGAGAGCTTTCACGACCAAAAGCATATGATACGAAAAGAAAATGAAGTTCCTCCACATCTTTTGACTTTCAGGCGCTTTAGGAAACATTTTTTAACATTAAATAAAACTTTTTTGAAACAATTTAAATTCAATAAAACTCTTCGGATACTTCACCTAATGATTAGACCATCCAACGGTATGCGCGAGGAACGTGCTCAATATTGCAAAGTTTAGGCTTCTTCACCGCCATAGCGATAACGAAGTGGTACGGCTGCATGCATGTGACCGTAAAAATACTCAGCGGTCTTTTCGCTCCATGCCCGAAGACGAAATCGGATGCAAAATCAAAACGAAAGTCGAAAAAAACATTCAAAAAAATGCGTGACATACACGTTCGAGGAAAGCAAACGAGGTAATATTTTCGCTTTTCATATGACCAATACCAAACTGAAGCAACAGCACGCATAAATGCTCCCGTCTCACCCGTCCTTCACACAGCCGTTCCAGGTCAGCCCATTTACAGAGCACGTACACTAGTTCAGCCAAGCCTGAAAGTGACGTTTATATTCACCATTACATTTACTTTTTACATTCCTCCGCTTCCCCTCCCCCCGCCCCCCTCCCCAAAAAAAAATCAATTACAGTATGATTTTCAAACTTCAAATCAATCTCGATACCCATCTGCAACAGTACTAACATGCCGAGCGCGAAAATCCGGCAATTTTTACCCGGCAAAAATTCTTCCACTCTCGCAAACAGATTGCTTCGGGAAGTCGCAGGGCAGAACGAGATGGCAAACCCAACGCACACGCACAAACATACATTTCGGAATGGCAGTCTTATCAAATGTTTCTTTTCAACGGAGAAAAATGAATATCAAAATTGTCAGCAGGATGGTCAGCAGGCATTACAACATTGCTCAAAACAACTGGAAAAGTTGCCAGCTGTATAGCTGAGAATCGGTAACGATATACAGCCGATCAAACTGTACGAATTGAACACATCTTTTTTTTTTTCATATACCACCAACGTTGTACATTTACCGTGCTTTCACAATGTTAAGCGCCAGAATTGATGCATAACGGTGTCGGTTCTGTACTGTGCCACCGTTTGTAGATGCTTCTGAGAGCTATAAATTTCTAGAGGGCATTCGTGTCAATCATTAGCTGTTCACGTAAAGGGTTAGATGAGGAAATTTTAAATTTTACCTTTATACTTCTGGCAATATCTTTTCACAACCTCCAGTTTTTCTTTCAAAGTAGTGATCGTCCGATTGAAATCTTCTTGATTGTTGTCACAAAAGGTTCTCATACGCTGTAAAATAAATTTACTCTTAATTTTACATTAAAGAAGTCTAATTTCTTTAAAAAAACGTGTTCTGTTGTAAGTTGTTGTTTCAGGTGCTATAAAGCAGTTATACCACGCCCTTCGATTCTGAACTGTATACCTCCAATTAGTATCTACCGCCTGTTCGATGTACAAGCAGCATCTCTTCCGAGATTGACAAAGTAGTCGATGTAATGAACATGTAAAATAAACGGCAAAACACGAGTAATTACTAATAAAATCCTTACAGTGGAAATTTGTCCACATAGTGGATCTGCTGTTACGATGAATTTTGATTCCCTAACGGTGCCTTCTTTCTTGATTTCAGCAAGTACGTCCCAAGCAATCCATCCAAATGATAGCAGACGACGGCGACTGTCCAACTCTGCTTGCCCTTAAAAACGTATTCCCATTTATGGAGCGCAAAACAGTTGGGCAATTCTCACGTTCTAAAAATTCTCATTCGAGCAAAAAGAAACATTCGTTCTTTTTTAAAGCCTGCACAGCCCGTATAAGCATCAGCACCAACAAGAACTCCATATCTGTCTAGAGACTGCTAAGTCGAATCTCTGAAGCTATTTTGTTCGCCAGTTTTTATCTGCAATGACGCAATCCTCTCCCATATCCCCTCTTAGTGCTGTAATCTTGAACGAATAGATGTATGCTCGTCATCAATGTGACGGGAAAGTGAGTGTACTAATGATCCCCACTCCAACACACATGCTATGTCCAGTTTACAGTTAAAAGAACCAGGGCAGTTTCCTGAGGCGAGGGGAGGGGAGAGGGAATGCAGTGGAGGAGAGGGGGATGCAGAAAACATTTTCCTTCAGTTCTACTTTTAGATCCTGATCTTTGTAGCACTGGTACCTGCACCGCCAAGGAGGAGACAAAAGATCTATCACCTCGCCCTGGATTCGTCAATGGTCATCTCCGTTTAATACCATGTAACCCTGATATTCGGTAATCGCTAAAAATTTACAAAACTATATAAACTAATTATCATGTGATGAAAAAT